TTACAAAATGGCAAAAATAGATTGGATACATAAAATTTATTTTGAATAACCTTGACTACAAGATATATTGTATTCAGTCATATAATTAAGATCTCTTCATTCTGCATAAAAATCTTATTATAGAGTTCAATCCTGATATTTGAGATACAACCATTGACCTCATATAAATTTTTTTCCTTATAAAACAAAAAGGGAATATTTACTAATGTAAAACGTGGTATTTCACTATCCCTCTTCATTATCTTCTTTCCTATCTCAATTAACATAATAAGAATCAACAGTGAATTAAGTAGTCTGAAAAGAAGGCATTATTTGTTTGATTCTTAGTTCAAATTTCATCAGGTCATTCTAACACACAAGAGAAAATATTTATGCATTAAATTATATCAAAGACTTATCTAATCATTGGCTAGTTATTTCATCTTGGTGTGTATTACATTGTTCAGTTATCTGATTGAGATACTGTGATATACAAGCTTAACATGCTCGAGTTTAACGTAGGACATGAGTGAAAAAACTAAGCGTAACTAGGATGCTGTATCGGCAAACTCATTAGTAAATATATAACACTTTTTTTACCACCTCTTACGTGTCATCTGCCCTTGAACTGGCATGTGCTCAGAGGCATGTGATGCATCGATACTCAAGATGGTGGCGAAGATTTGTAGCTGAGGTGGATGTTTTTGATGGAGTTTTGTTCTCTGAGCTGGATGGTTTGGTCGTGGAGCTTTCATCGTTCTTCGGAATGACATCATCAGCACAAAATTCAGATGGAAGTGAAGCGTTCGAATTTCTCCACATGTGGTTCACAGCTTGTCCTATACATCGATATTCACCTAACCCATCAGTATGCTACTACTCATTAATGCGCGTCCATGACCTATTAACAGAGTATTGAACTCAAGGACTTCATTTCTTAGGACGAGCACTTAATCTCTAGACCACAAAGTCGACATTCACTGGTCTGTATGTTAAGCTTCAATCAATTCACGATGTGCAGCGACTATCTTTCAATGCATTCGGAGAATAACTACCTCACACTGGACATTAGTTAACTTAAGAACTTCGTGAATTATCATTCTAAATTAGTCAAAAGTGATTAAATAACTTAATAGCTATTATATAATAAGTTAACAGAGATAATGTGAAACCAGATTACATCAGATAAATGTTTCATTTTAGCTCAATAGTACAAAATTAACGACTACACAGCATATAATGTTTTTAAGGTATCTAATACCAATCAATTCCAAAGTAAATTGAAGTAGTTGTTCCATACGATACCATATAATTAATATCAATAAGAACTTTGTAAACTTCTATTGATAAACTTGTGTTACAGTCAATCAAACGGAAGGTAAGTTTAGATAACGTCCTCAGTATATCATATACCTTGTTCTGATCCAATTGTTCAAATAGATAATATTCACTATGAACTCTGAAAGTTCAAGGTTTAATCCATGATCACAATGGGGATGAACATTAGTGAGGAACATCAGTTATCCTTTACTGGTTGGTTATGTAGCTAAGTCAATCTGTGATATAAGACATTCTTATTTCATCAGTTGGTAGCATTAACGTCCTAGTCAATCAACCATAAGCAAAGTAGAACCTAGAAGTTTAATCGGTTACTTTCTCCAAGTTGGCACACCTTTAAGGTATTATTATAAGAAAACTGTCATGATTTTAGTTGGAATTTCAGTGTTTTTTCCCTCTAAAATATTCTCCTTCATAGATTATACACAATAGAATATCCGTAATCTTTCAATTACAATGTAAATTCCCTTTCTCTCCATTTAGTGAATCAACACAAAAACTCATAGTAGAAAAACAAATAATCATGTTTCAGCCCTAAATTCTTCATTTTTAATTATAAATAACTGATTTTAGATAATATATCTAGTGAGAGGGATGTTTATTTACTGAATATAGTAACTTATCTTGTCCTAAAATTAGGCAACTTTAGATGAAATGATACTATTAATGTTTATATCATTGAAGCTTTATCAGTTGTATGTATGTAAGTTCACTATACAAATTTTCACAAAACTAAACAAAGCGGGTGTTCTAGTGATATATATATATATATGCTGATTTATTGTACAATCACGGAAGTCAGTATTATTGGTGTCTGTGTGATAGCTAATCTGTGTCAGATAGATACAGGTATCTATAATGGAAGATGGTCAAAGTTAGACATTATTACCGTTGAATGTCAGCTGAGTGGTCTAAAGGTTAAGCGTTTGAACGTGAGAACCAATGTTCACGGTTTGAATTACGCGTGCAAGATTGTAGATGTACACTGCTGAGGAATCTCGTGTTAGGACGAAACGGTCGTCCAGTGCTCCCAAGTCACAAGTGATAGATCACTGGGTGGCAATCAATGTCATGCTTGTCTAGTCCTTATTAGTGCAGATTGAATGCTAACGATCATGTTGCAATGTGGCCACCAGTCTAGGTGACTCGACACTGCGGGCACTATATAGTGAGATTTAGATGGTGGTTGGAGGTAGTCAACAGGAAACCCTGAACCCGGGTTTTGTGCTACTTGGCACTCGTCAGCAAGATGTACCTGTAATCTTGAGGGAACTGGTGCTCCCTGGCGGATTCGATCTCGTGTCACCCAGCTTCACAGTCAGAGACGTTACCAGTCGCGGCTCGGACAGCTCAGTGTTAATGTCTCTGACTGTGAAGCTGGGTGACACGAGATCGAATCCGCCAGGGAGCACCAGTTTCCTCAAGATTACAGGTACACCTTGCTGACGAGTGCCAAGTAGCACGAAACCCGGGTCCAGGGTTTCTTGTTGACTACCTCCAACCATCATCTAGTGCTCCCAAGTTTTCAATGGTGGCCTAACATCGATAGATACACGATCTCAATCAAAGGTTTAACAATCTCCACAATCCCATACTGGTGATATGAAATAATTAGAGAATGAATTAATTGATGTTGGATTTCATTAAAGAACTTTCAATATAACAAATATAATATTGAAATCTATATTTTTACTTGAAATGAGCTCCACATATTCATATTTAAGAAAAAATGTGTGAAGAGTTTTTCAACGAGGTTTAACTCTGACTCATTATCTGAAGATGATCTTCGAAAAGTTTAGCTCCGATAATAACAATTTTTTATTTAATGAAGGACTTGATGCACGAATTTCAATGCGAAACCCTCTCATTTCTGTAAAAAACTAACATTTAGAGAAGAAAATATGACAATCACCAAAATGATTCTTGATTCTTGGTTATTTTCCTGGTTAGCGTTTTTTTAGTTAGTTAGTTTTCTACAGGATGGGGTCGCTAACCCAACCCTCTTCCCTTATCCGGACTTGGGGCCGGTGGTAGCCGCAGAGGTGCTTCAGACGGAGTTCTTGATTCTAGTAGTAATTAGTAAACGTCATAGGTTGTAAAATTTTTGTACGAGTCTGTGACTATATTCAGGGGTTAACAGGTAGAAGAAATTATTCAGTTGAAGCAAAGTATGACAAAAATATTATTAAGAAGTTCTAGCAGCTCATTTATTTAACTCCATAATTGTTTTTTATACTGATAAGAATGAAGCATTAATAATTTTGAAAGGTGACTTCTGTATAATTTAGTGTGGTATGTGTAATTCTTACAATATGAAACGAAAGACTATTCATTAATTAGTTCGAACGAGTTTCAACCTCCATGTATATTATGGATTTTTATGAAACGTTACCAAACTTCATTCTAAACGAGAACTGATCTGGTCAGAATCTAATTAACTTTATTACCAAACGTTCTATCAGTTTTTCTCTGTTATTTCATACTTACAGCACTGATTATGAAGAATAGAAAGTAACACTGATCTGAAGAATAACATCATGTTTTCTCGACAATGTCAGTAAGATTGAGCTTGTTAAGCTGACTACGAGGTGTGGATGTCATGTTCTCAGGAACAAACTTTGATATTGGTTAGAATGCTTTTAGCTAGATTAGTACAAAAGAAATAAAAAAACGAAATATTGAATATTAATTCTCTATTATTGATTGGTTTTAATGCATTATTTACCTCTGAACACAATGAATAATTAACCATACTTACGTAAAACTGTTACCCATCGTGAAAGAGCATAGACTGTCCATCAACATTCTTTATCGAACTCTGTCATGAGCAATCCTTTCCAGTTGTTATTCATATACTTATTTCTGCTTCCAATTCTCGACGTAGTGTGTTCATTGGCCGTCCTCTTTTCCGTGTCCCTTCAGAATTCCAAGTTAGTACTTACTTCGTGATGCAGTTTGATGATTTCCTTAATCTTTGTCCTCTCTACTTGCAGTGTCTTTTACTAATTTCCTATTCAATTGGAAGTTGGTTTATTCTGTTCCATAATAGGGTGTTGATGATGGTATCCGAGGACGGATATTGAGTATGTTGCGTAGACAATGGTTTATAAATACTTGTACTATTTTGATGATGGTTGCGTAGGTTGTGGAAGTTTCAGCTCCATACAGTAGAACTGTGTTGACGTTCGAACTGAAGTTTCTGACTTTGATATCGGTCGAAAGTTGTTTTCAGTTCCATGTGTTGTAAAACTGTAAGAATGCAGTTCTTGGTTTGCCATTATTCTCCTTTACGTTTGCTACCCAGATACATAAAAAACTCCACCACTTCCAGAGTTTACCCATCAAGTCCCTTTGAGTTGATGTTCTTTGTGTTAAATTTGAGAATGTTTTTCTTTTTCTCTTGTATATGTTGAGATCTACTGATGCAGAAGCTTATGCTATACTAACTGTCTTCATCCTCTATAGCTCTTCTAAGGTTATCGTCGGTCCCAAGCTCGCACAAAGCAGGAGGGTTGAGTTTAGGGTCAGGAACCTCATCTTATACATAACAACTTTACTTAAAAAAGAACACTAACGAGAATAAACAAATTAATGTACCTTATACAAATATAACAAATAATTCAATCATATCAACTAATGTGATAGTTATATATTAATCAAGTTTTTTGTTTGTTTCTTTTTAGATAAGAAAGTTAAATGTTATCGATGTACCGATTGTCCTAATCCATTCGATAAAACTCAAATAACTGAATTAGCTAATTGTAATTTTTGTCGAGTAAGTTCATGTAAATTCATATGACATGATGTTATGGCAACCTGGACCGATGCACATATGTGCCTGGTCCTACGTTGTAGCTGACTGACTGACTATACTTTTCTTTGCGTGCATGAATTTTAATGTATTGATGTCTCGTTCTACCAAAAGATAAATAAGTTAGCAAAAGGGTGGCCTGCATGAATATATGGGCTACCTGTTTCTGCCATCTGATTATTTCAACAAGTTATCTGGGTTTTTTTCGTTTGTTTTATCTTATAATTACGTCCATTAATCTCATAACATATTCAAGCGCTTTTATGAAAAGCCTACGACCTTTCGCTGCACAGGTTACAAAAAAGTACTATAAAAGAAATCGTGGTGGTTGGCAATATGCTTTAAAGAGAATGAATATTAATCGTATGTTGATTCCCGAGCTGCTAAATTCTAACTGTCGATCACTAATCAACAAAGTGGACTATCTGAAATTCCTACTAAGTCAAAATATGTATTGTAATTGTGGTGTCATCACAATTCAAGAATCTTGGTTAAATGATTTACAGGACGCATAGCTAGTATCACTACGTGATTTCATAATTTATCGTCAGGATCGATCAAACAATAAAAAGAGGCGTGGTGGCGGTGTATTTTTTCTGTGCTGAAAATTTTATATTGTACCAAAACTATAATATTGAATAAAGCCATTAATAATAATAATAATAATAATAATAATAATATACAAGGTGAAAGATATGATTGAAGGGGATGATTAGTATTTGATGAGATAACACCTGCCAGGAGTTTGCAAGACTTTAGATGTCTATTTACAACGATATTAATAATGACCTCGAAAGATTCACCACATGCCTTGCTAACTGTCCTCAGCACCCCTCGTAATACAGCAAAGTCTTTTCTCAAAAACCCAGGAAAGAATAATGGAGAACAGTAAAGAATAATAGGTAATATACAGGGTTTGACAAATTGTAAGAGTAAATGACCATTAATCCCAAAAGCATACAGCCTCTTTATGTAGTGAATCAGATGGAAAACTTTCTTTGATAACAGTAAAATATGAGAAGACCAAGAGAGATCAGAGGAAAAGATAACACCGAGATAATTGACCTTCGACACTGTTATATCCCGATAAGAATAATGAATGGTAATTTTTAGGATCCATTTATGAACCAAGACTATGAGAATATTTTTATCGTATAATTGTTATGTAACTAAACTGATCATAATCATGTCCCTCTTATTATGAGTTTTATTTCGACCCATCAACTATTATTATACGATTTACCTTTCTTGAGTTATGGTCTGTCTATTAATTACTACCTCCCACACAGCTACATTTGGCTAAATCTTGTACAGATGTTGTTTCATATTTTATGGTACGTTGTGGTCTGTCTGGTTGATATATAAACTCAGTATGTTTGAAATAAATGATTCATATTGCAGAGGCTGAGATTAGTGTTCGATTGATAATTCACTGCTCTGTGATTGGCGGTATCGCTGCGTTATACAATAACAGAGCACACGGGTTCACGAGTTATAACAAACACTGTGTTTATCAAAGAGTCTCCAATGGCACAAGCATTGTGGGATCCCGAAATGGTGCTTAGATGCCGTTCATGTCTCATGCTAAAGTTAATAGCTTGACATTTAAACGGATTTTTTATCCTGCTTCTCTTTACAAGCCACCCATTATAATTAAAATGAGTACATTGTGAGCACAATAACTGGAATTTATGGAGTTTGAAGCGGGCAATAACAATTATGAACTAAATAAAATAGTGAAGCAAAAGTCTTCATTATGAATGATCTGATAATGTTGTGGCGTGTGCTACTTATATCGATATAAGTAGTTTATAAGGCTAGTTAGGAATAGAATGTTGAGATGATCAAGAAGGAAAGAATGGGAACAGAAATCGATTAGTATGAAAGTGAAGGAACAGTGAACTGTGAGACAATTGATTGATATTTACTGTATGGTTCTCAGATTTTACTAAGAGATTCTGTAACTTTGTGTTCAAATGTATTCGATTGTCCTCACTTGTGTTCTTGTTCATCGGGTGTCACGTAATTAATCTGATTCAAGGCAATGTATATAAGCTTGAATTTATAAAAGTTGAATTCTCTTCAGTCACTGAATCATTATTGTAGGGAAAGTGTTATTTATTTTATTTATCTAAACACATAAACATTGGTACAACGAGGCACCAAACAGGTATGCGCAACATAAATCGCTGGGTTTGTGTGAAAGCTGGGATACTGTCTGGGTGTTTAAACCGAAACAGATGGTCCTCTTAGGGAGTCATACCTCGAGCCTTCAATATAAAGGTCTGATCCGAAAGGCAGTGAAGCAATGTCCCATGGTAGACGGTGACCAATAATTGGTTCCCTCAGGATCCTGGATCTCATGAACACCATTGGTTTGGAATCAGAGTTTTCCGATTCCTCTAGGTAGGTTCTCCGTATCCACTAAACTGGTTGGAGCACGGATATTGGTTCAAGTTTAAGTCATAAATAGACGTCTTCCAATTGTCAAGTATGATTTGGTATATGTCAGTGCTTTACATTTTCAAGTATTTAATAAAATTACTTCGAGTTCTAGACTTCATTTAACTTAAATACAAATTAAGGTAAATAATAAAATTGAAAATCATCTTCATTATTAACTGATATATGAAAGTAGTATTGAAAATAACGGGGTAGCAGATCTCTGTTTCATTTTTTGTTTAGAATAATTGCTCAATGGCCCGGATCCTATTGGAAATTGAACTTGAGCTAGTGAAATAGCCAGAATTAAGGATGAATGATCAAACAAATTGAACGCATGTCACGTAATCATTAATAATAATGCTAGGAATAAGAATAGTAATAAATATAATCCTACTAAGTAATATAATAGAACTCATCAGACAAAAGAAGAATAGTAAGGGATGAAAATGAGGTGAACAGAACAACTAATCAGATTCTGTTTATTTTATCAGATTTTACAGTCAATATGTTGGCTTCTCATTTTTTTTTCCAAGAAAACCCCCACTTAATTATAAATTGATCTTAGAAGGTTCCATTTGTATGCTGGTTAAAATCCTCTTCCTCGACAAATCCTCTTCCTTGAAAAATATAGTAGAAATTAGATCATTTCCCATTCCTTGTTGTGTGACATCACTGATTGGTTATAATCGTAAGTATCTATTACTGAATTTCGATGTAAGATATCATATTCTCTGAGAATTCAGAAGCTTATGAGTTTGATCATTTATGGAGTTATGTATGGACGCCGCTAAAGAGCTGTGAAACTGGATAAAGAATATTTTCAGAACATCATGTTTTTGAACCACTTCTTAAGGTTGCCCTGTTTAACTGTAAATAACCATAGACAGCGTACAATTCACTATACATCATACAAAAATTGGCATACACTATAAGATAAATGAAACTAGATCGTACTATCACATGTTAATCTTTGACTGAATCCTACTGTTATATATTTTATCAAGGGTCGTGTTAGTTGCAGTGAAACAAACATGTTGTGATGTAGACAACTCATCGAAGAGAGTTTTCTTTTTCCTGTTTTAGAGGTTGATTACCTGTCTGGTACTAAACAATAGCTTTGGTAACAATTTCATTCTGTGAATCATTTCAAATTTGTTTCTCAATGACGAAATGAATTTGATTATTGTCGGAGAACATTCATTTCATAACACAACGTAACGATTATAACAAATTGGAAGTCGCTTAAAATGATAGTTGAAAAGCTTCTTCCTACTTGTAATTATTAGTATTTCATTTTGGACTATATACAAAACCATCAATATGAGTTGGATTATATCATTAGTGAGATGGATGACATTGTTCAATATTTTTCATTGTTCAATTCCAATCAAGAATATTTTTACATGTCTTAATGTATAGTACTGATTATAGATTTATATCCGTGATTTAATACTTAGATTTATGCCTACTGAGGTTTATGAATACGTAAGTCTTCTACAGAATTAGTCACAACCCCGTAGTAGACTATAGAAAATTATTGTAGAGATAAGTTATTTGTGGGTGACGTATATGTTTAATATATCATCTTCAGTTGGAGGTTGTGGAGATTGTTGAATTTCCGTGAACTGACCAATGTTAGACCACCATCGAAAACCTGGAAGCATTAAATGTTCGTTCTGTCCTAGTATGAGACTCCTCAAGCAGTGATCATTCACGATTCCTCACGCGAACTTCTGATCTGTAGACCACTGAGACGGCATCTAACCGTGTTAATCTCTAACTTCAATCAATTCATGATGTTGAATACCAGGACAAATTAGCCGTCCAGTGCTTCCAGGTTTTCAATAGTAGTCTAACATTAATCATCAGTTCATGATTTCAATGAGATTTAATAATATATTCGAAATTTTTTTTTTAAAAAAATCTTTTCAGACGGTTTACACTTATCGTGATGAAGATAATTATAGAATTGCAAAAGATTGTGTAGCAAGTTGTGTTCCACAAGATCGTCGTGGTGGTAAAGCTGGCCTAGTAACTGAATGTTGTGATGAAGATTATTGTAATGCATCACCTAAACATTATTCTATTTCATTTTTATTAATTACCAGTTTTACAATTTTCATTATATATGCTAATAAATTCATATATTGAATCATTACCTCTCTCTCTCGCTCTCGCTCTCGCTCTCTTGCTCGCTCGTTCTCTCACTCATTTCACTTATTTTTAATTCCCATTTTTTCTTTAAAAAAAAATGTTTTTTCTCTTGGCTTAATAGTATCTAACTCTCGTTTTTTTAACCAATAGGAATCTATAGATGTCATTGTTGTTTTTGTGTTCTATTCTTCTTAATCTATATTATATCCCTAAATATAAAATGGATCAATAAACAGGAGATCATTATAGTTGCTATGCATTATATCCATGTCTATATCTATATCTATCTATCTATATATATACATATATATCAGTATAATGACAAGTATTTTGTGTAATAACCTTTCTGAATACAATTGTTGTAATTATCAATTACAAATTGTAGTTTCTTGTTATTGAACCTTGTGATTCTGACAATACGATTACTATTATTATTATTATGATGATGATGATGATGGTGATTATTGCTATTAAACCCTTAAGATTATGTTTTGTTCCTTATCTAATCAATCTTAACAGTGTGTTGTGTTTCATTTCAAAGTAAACTTTATAACCAACTTATTGAATGATTATTGTTATGGTTGTAAGTGAGTAGGTTGTAATTTTGTCATGGGTTATTCTTAATAAGAAGGAATAGATAAAGCATATTCTTTATATTATTTTTGTCTTGTTCTCCCGTTCTCGCTTGTTATATCTTTGTGTGTATGTTTGTTTGTTTGTTTTAATCAAACCTTTATTAGATTGAGTTTATAATTAAGCTTCAATTTTGGATTTTGTATGGATTATTGATTTTTATGTTGTATACTATTCACAGAAATAAAATGAATTTCCATGTTTTGTTTACTTATTTAAACATATGAACATTGGTACAAGGAAGCACCAAACAGGTATGCGCCACATAAATCACCGGGTTTGTGTGAGGGCTGAGGTACAGTTTGGGTGCCAAAATCGAAACAGGTGGTTTTCTTGGGGTGTCACACCTCGAGACTTCGATATAAAGTTATGACCCATAAGGCAGTGGAGCAACGTCAGGAGATACAGTCCCATGGTATTCGGTGTCCAATAATTGGTTCCCTCAGGATCGTGGATCTCATGTGCACCACTGGTTTAGAATGAGGGTTTTCCAATTCCCTTAGGTGAACTCTCTGTATTTACTAACCCGATTTAAGCTCCCGACATCCGCTTTTTGTCCTCTCGATTTTGTAAATAACACCCTCGTCACGAGATGGCAGTGAGTAGGATTTATCTGGCAGTGGTTGCATGCATGCGGCCATGTGAGAGCATTTCGAGATGGATAGCTGACTCTCCTCACCCTCGACCGTACCAGGGCATATATATATATAATGATTCATTTTATTGCTTTGGGTATCCTCTTTTCGTTACAGTCAAATTATTGATACAAATGTTGGATATTTTGGTTATCTAAGCCATGGATACATTAGTTGGTTGTAAAACAAAAAGGAAACTGAGAAATAATGAGAAACCAGTCTATTAGATCGCATTTTGGTAATTAATTACAACTTCTTAAAAGGTTACTTAGAAACTCATCAATTTAGTGAGTAGGCAAATGTACTGAGTAACTTTCTATTCTGTTTAACATTGTGACTGTGAAAAGTGGTCTTTGAAATTTTATGACATCTATCGATGAATTATTTACGATGATCTATATATCCTCGAAGTATAATGGGGGAACGATATATCTGATTCTGTGGTTAGGTGTAATGTATTTGTCAAAAATCGCAAATCGGTTGATAAAGCTATAAATCTGGATCAGATGAAGCAAATAAGATATGTGTTATATATGCTTAGTCTTCTCCGATTTCATCACATAGTGGCAGTCGAGAGAATGATTTGGCATCAGTGTGTTTATAAATTGATTGTTAGTTGAATAGAATTGCATTCTCCAAGTTGTATAAATTCTGATATTATTAGTACTATTGGTATTTCAATATGTTTGACATTCATCTTTTTCATATCCTCTCTGTTTCTGTTGATTTGCTAAGTTGTACTGAAGCACATCTTTACCGATTGTAATACTGATTATGACTGACTCACTAGCTTTTAAAACTTGAAAATTACCTGAATACGGTGAAATGTCAGACAATAAGCTTAGACACTGATGTTATGCTCAAAACGGATTAATATCACGTTTAATTTAATACTGATAGTATAATTAGTTCATTATTATACCAGTGAAGCTAATCTGTGTCGGGTAGAGACGGGTATCCACCTCAGTACAATGGAAGATAGTTGCGCAATTTCGTGGATTAGTTGAGGTTTGACATTAATACCGTTGGATGCCGGCTCAATGGTCTAGAAGTTAAGTGTTCATGTGCGAGACTTCAGGCTCTGGGTTCGAATTCCACGAGCGGTACCGTGGATGCGCACTTCTGAAGAGTCTCATACTAGCACGAACCAGCCGTCTAGTGCTTCCAGGTTTTCAATGGTGGTCTGACATCAATCAATCAAAAACTTAATAATCTCCACAACCCTATACTGTTTATTTTTTCATTTACATCAAGGATTATTCAAAGTTAGTTCAACTTTCTGTTTAAAATATAATACAGACAAATAACGCTTACTATAAATTAACGTTTATTATTAAATACGGTACAATACCTTTGTTTATTTATTGATTTCCATAGTAAGTAACTTGATAGTAGTAAATTAATGTTTATTAAAAATAAAGAAAACATCGGTGAGACCAATATGTGGACGACATTGGAGCGACGTAAAAGTGACATTGAGAGTGTCCACCTAGTAACTAGGACCAAATGAGGGTTATAAACAAGCATGAAGAATTAGAATTATGATTTACACTTGATGATTAACGTTAGGAATTAGATTTAGCGTTTTCATTAAGAAACTGACATCAGCCATGATGTCAAATCTCTATTTAACCAAATGGTTGAGTGAATTTCGCGCTAAACTCCGAGACCTATTATCTTATACCTGATTGATTCGTTCATAAATTATAGTCTCACCAAGACATCACTATACATGATGGATGACTATTAGTGATTTAAAATTTGAAAAAAACTGTTTTTACATTCACATAATCATTAGTTGTAGTGGTCGGTATTCGATATGATCCTGAAACTTCGTAAACAGTTCGTTCTGATAACCGTTACTAATTAATGTCCCTAATGGTGTATAAATCAGAAGACGAGTACGAAGTGTTGATCGTGTTTATTTTTGCACGAAATACAGATAATAAAAACTACAGACACGCGAAACAAGAATGAAAGTCTAATGCCGGAAAGAAAACGGGCGAGTGAGCGTGCGAGTTCGCGAGTCAAATGAATAGGATTAAGATGTATATATATAGGGAAATGAGTGAACCATCGAATTAATTAAGCGATTAACAGTAAGGCTAGCATAATGAATATATGCGTAAGCAGTAAGCAATCCTCAAGGATACATGTTCATACAAGTGCAAGAATAATAAAGGTACTGTGGTGTAGATAAGTTGTTATTGTACGGATGACTCTCTCCGTTAAGATGTGTGTGCGAAAATGATAATGATTGGTTGTCTGCTCAGTCAGACATGTAGATAGTCTGACAAGTGTCAGATGAGTTATATGTTCCCTTATCCTTATTATTGTGACTCATTATTAATTGTTCATTGTTGTTGGATTGTGTCGGGTTTTTGGTGCGAAAATATATTTACGTTATGATCAGGCTAATCACGTGTTCTTGATCTGAGTTGTATTGACGTCTTGTAGAATAGATACTGGGAGGGGAATCTAGTGTAGATATTCGTCTAAGGTAAATGAACGTCCCATACGTGTAAAAGTGGAAACTAGAAGTTTTAACAATTGGCGACGGGGTGAAAAACAAAGAATCAAGAGTGCAAAACCACAAGTTATAGCACTTAAATAAGTAAACAAAAGAGTTTAACCAAATTAAATGTGAACAAACTCAATTACACATGAGCTACTATAAGTTGATTCAATCTACTATGTTTATTTAGTGGCCCTTAATCTAACTCCAGTTTGATTGTGTAAATGATTGTTATTGAAATATTCATATCGACTATCCTCGTTATATAATTATCAACTTAACTCGCGTTAGTCAATAACAGAATTAACTAAGTCAAACACGAGAATGAATTTCAAATACTTATATTTTATACAATCGTTGATGTAAACAAATGAGAGGAGAAACAAAGCGAAACGATGCACAGTGGAGAAGGCATGTAAGCCAACTCGATTTATAGTCGAACAAAAATAATTTACAAAAATATGTTGAGTAAGATAAGAAATGTATACACATACGCGAATAATTAACAAGGTCAAAATGTGACCAAAGTGGAATGAATAAATTGACTTGTCCGGAAGCTAGAGTAAGATATGTGGGCTTAACATAGCAATCGACACTGTAATATTATGGGGGAGACTATAATTTATGAACGAATCAATCAGGTATAAGATAATAGGTCTCGGAGTTTAGCGCGAAATTCACTCAACCATTTGGTTAAATAGAGATTTGACATCATGGCTGATGTCAGTTTCTTAATGAAAACGCTAAATCTAATTCCTAACGTTAATCATCAAGTGTAAATCATAATTCTAATTCTTCATGCTTGTTTATAACCCTCATTTGGTCCTAGTTACTAGGTGGACACTCTCAATGTCACTTTAGCGTCGTCCATAAATTATAGTCTCACTGTTTTCTGATTATTTTGTCGAATGAAATAACGTTAGTTTACTTCATTAAAAAAATATAAAAAATTATTTTGCTTAAATATAGAACAATATGGAAACAAGATCTTATTACATAATTAGCTGATAAGAAATGATCTGACTAACAGAAATCTACTAAGTTGGATTGGTTTAGATTTTATACAATTTAAAAGTAAACTTTTATCCCAAACGAACATTAACTAAGAGAAAAAGTAACAAAATTGCACTGGTTCCATGAAACTGTATTATGATGTTATAAATCATGAAGTGACCTATGCTCATCCACGAGGATTAACAGGCGAAAATATGTAAGAATCATGAACTTCACTACGTCAACTGACTTAATGACGTTTGATGAAATTGATGTTATATTACGAACTGGTTAGCGAGAAAAATGGAAATCAATGACAAAATATATTCTATGGCTGTGAGTTCCTTGGTTTTGAGGATTTTAGAATATACGCTTCGTCTCGCTGGATTTATGTTTTCCTCGTTAAGATTTGATCTCATATCGGGTGGTTTCATAGTCATATATGTTACTGATGAGCTGCCCATTTTATCCGTCACACAATAGTAAACAGTATCATATTATGTGAAAAGTAGAAGTTATCGACATTTTGTGTCCAACGTACAATAAGGACATCAGATTAAGTAACTTTACATTGTGGTTGGAAACAGTTGCGTTGTATGACAGATAATTAAACTGAGTTCATTAAGATTCCAGATGATACTTGTTGCCAAGGGACAGCTATCATGGTAATTAGATGAAGTTCTAGTTAGTGATTACCCTCAACTGCTAAATATGAAACAAAGTGAATCACAATGTTGAATTAACTTAGCCTGATAACCATCTTAACATTGGTTTAACACTAAAGACTAGATAAACAGCATTTCAGTTTCTATTCATTGGTCAATTACGGTTAAAAATATGTGTGCAGGCTAAAAATGGTGTTCACTTCACAAAAGCGATACATCCATCATCGTATCTTACAACAAATAAACAAAATTAAAATTGAACATCTGAAGATAAAATTTTATTATTTTTGTTATGACGTTATGTCCGGCTTTTTTTCACGTGATTTATGCACCAATCAAAATACGACTTATACAACCTTAGTACTGTGCCAAAC